TGTGAATCCAAATGAGCTGTCTTCGTACCCGATAATCATCCAGTACGAACTAGGTTCGTCTAGTACGAACATTTAATTTTCAAAGTTCATCGGTACAAAAGTTAGGACAAAATATAAGTTTACAGAACAGAGCCCTTTATCTTGGGTAAAACAAAAAATATTGTGTGGATAAATAGATTATTTTGGAAATCTAGAGCCCTTCATACTAGGATGAACGATAAATATCATATAGACAAATAGTTCATTTGGTAAATCTAGAGCCCTTCATCCTGGGACGAAGGATAAATATCGTATGGATGTATAGTTTATTTGGCGAATCCAGAGCCCTTTATCCTGGGATGAACAATATCATATGGACGTATAGTTCATTTAGAAAATTTAGAGCCCTTCGTCCTGAGACGAACGATAAATATCGTCTGGACGAATACTTCATTTGGCAAATCTAGAGCCCTTCATATTGGGATGAACGATGAATATCATCTGGACGAGTAGTTCATTTGGTAAATCCAGAGCCCTTCATCCTCGGATGAATAATAAATATTGTCTGGACGTATAGTTCATTTGGCAAATCCAAAGCCCTTCATCCTGGGATGAACGATAAATATCGTCTGGATGAATTTGTCTTGGGACGATGGAAATTATCGTATGAACGAACAAAGCAATTGCCAAATCTAGAGGAGATTGTCCTGGGATGAATGAAAAATATCATCTGGACGATTTATACTTAGAAAAAATTTTGCCTTCTCTGTTTGTTCCATTGCTCATTTGGAAGTATAACTGACCAGATCATCCCGTATGAACATGGTTCATACTATACGATCATTTTAAAAATTATGAATTTTAATACTCTTCCCCAGGTGTGTTTGTGCTTAGTTACTCAATTACAATCACACTCTCTCAAACTCAATTAAATGAAAAATACAGGCTTCAATTTACAAAACATTCTAAGCTGATCTTGATTTGAAGTCTTCAACAATCTGGAGTATGATTTTCCTGAAATGTTAGTACACACAAGAGCAAAAGTAATTCTTCCAAAATATGTTAGGAGAAAATAATAATAAAAAAATAATATTTGGAATTATAAAAAATATACAAGTTACAAGAATTTAAAACATGCAAAGCTAAATAGCAACTCTCTCAACACCTTAAACCTTTCTTTTCACCCTTATAAGCTCGATAGAGACCAGTACAGGAAAATCATGTATTACCGGCATATTCTTCGGCTGAAAATTATTCATTTTCTTGCGAATTTTAAGGGAAAATAGTTTTTGCCGGTAAAATGAGCGTCAGAAAAAAATTCACCAGAAAAAATTTTTTGGTGGAATTTTATCTCTGAAAAATTGTCCGGCGGATAAATTTCATCGGAATAATAAAAAAATTAAATAGTAGCTGGCAGCCCGCTCTGCCCAGTAGGCCCGCCCGTGGCCCTCTACCAAACGACATGCCACGTGACCCGCTCTGCCCGGCTGGCCCGCTTGTGGTCCGCTCCTAAATGGTCACCAGTATGCTAGTGTGAACTGGCAATGAGCCCGTGCCCTCCAGGGGGCCTACAAACCAAACCAGCCTGCTCGAGTGAGCCACCAAATGTCCAAACCCACTCGCCCGCATGACCGGCCATTTGCCCGAACCCGTGTCCGTTAGGCGCCTGCCCGCCTGCGTGTCCCTGCCTAGATTCGAACCCCCAATCTCTTGAAAGGATTTTATAGAGCCTTCTATTTTGCTGCAGCGCAAAATGTGTTCTTATATTATATTTTTTATATTTAAATAATATTAGCAGTATTAAAATTATAAAATTAGCAATTAAATTAATATTTAATTAAAATAAGTTTAAATCAATATTTAATTAATTAGTAATTTAATAAATTATTTAATTAAGAATAAATTAAAATAAAATGTTAAAGTTATTATAATAAAGATAATTATTAAATTAATAATTAATTAAAATAAGCTATTAAATATTAATTAAAATAAATTATTAAATTAATAATTAATTCAAATGAGCTATCAAATATTAATTATTTAAATTATGAAAATATTGTTTTATCAGGAATTATTAAAATCTGTAGGAAAATCCATCAAAAAATCTACAAAAAAAAAAATTGTCTGAAATATTTCATTATAATCTATCAGAAATTCGCCGGAAAATCCACCGGTAATAGGCAATTTTCCTATAGTGGATCTAAGGATGCATTAACTCTCATTCACATCTATAATTAAAAATCTCATTAGAAAAACTAAGTTACTTATATTCATTAGTTAAAAATATTTTATTCTCATAAGTATCAAAAATCATTTTTGCAAGTTTTTATTTTCTTTTAGCGATAAAAATTCCAAACATCATTTTCTTTTTTAGTAGTATAAGTGGTGCATTTGAAATAAGTAGCAATAGTTAAGTTATTATTTAGCAGAATACTTCCATATGGGTTTGACATTTTATTCTCTCACTTTATTACTTGATACGACACATATAGTTATGTAATTAAATAGGATGCTATTAATTTTATATCAAAGAAAATCTATTCATATTCCGAACTCACTGAGTCTCATATTAGCTCACTATAACCCCCCATCAGAATATAGTAAAATATTTTGAAGCAAAAGATTTTTAATTACTTTCGTTGGATATATAGATTTATATTGATGATTTATAGATGCTTTAATAAATGACTAACAAAAGATAAATAAATAAATCTTCTAAATTTGATCTTAGTGTGTTACACCAATAACGTTAAATTATATAACAAAAAATTATATTTCTTTATGCCTTGAACATATAAGTTTCATCTAATATTTTCTTTTTAGACCTCTTTAGTACTAAGTCATTGATTTTATTAATATTCCATGGTTGGGATATAATTAGCCATTTTCTTCGACGTCAACTACATCAAGGGCATGATTAATTTCTTGGATATTAATTAATGCTCAATCTTAGCTCATTTTTGCACTAATCAACCTATAATTAAAGAGTATTTTAAGAGAGTGTGCATAATGACTAGGATAACTCACTTTAGGGGGATGCCTTAAAACCAATTGTGAAAATTTAGAAGGAAAAAAAAGGAATGAACTAACCTCATGGGGATAGTAGGCTCATTAATTAGAGGTAGTGGTATTGGACCTTTTATATATTAGGGAACTATCTAGGGACTCTCAGGATCACATTAACATTATAACTACTTAATGAAGTCTATTATATTAAGCAGATCATGCACAACACATAAGCAATCTAAGAGGTAGAAATGAGTTATTTAATTTCAATCATATTATTGAGAATCAAATAGGGTTCAAAAGTAAATTAACTTATATGTGGAGTTCATTTCCTTTTGATATGCATTTACGGATGTTGAATTAGTCCAAGTGTCACCCTCATATTCAAATAATTGAGCGGTGTGTAAATGGCCATAGGCCCATTATCTGGTTCTTCCAAGCCAATGGTAGAGGAAATTCAATTAATAATAGTAGGATGAGCATGCTAGTAGAAAATAATGAGCAACAATGAGTCTAAAGACAATGACATGGGAGTACATAATGTGTATTTACTCATCATACCCTTTTATATGCCCCATAATATACACGACTCACTTTGGTCGGCTGGTTGAGAGCTTAGGCTCCCAACTAAGAGGTCTTGGGTTCTAGTGTTAATGTATGCGTTGCGTGTGTGAGTTTGCCTTAAATGGCCTAAATGTCCAAAAAAAAAATATACCCATAATAATGTAGGGATCTTATCAATAGATCACATATATTATTGCCATTTTAGATATCGATTAATCTCTTAGTGGTTAACCAATAGTCACTCCACTCTAGAGTATCTATGCTCAAGGCCAACAAAATAAGCACTCATTCCTTTTGCACTTTCATTAAAGTAAATAACAAATGAAACATGGTAGGCTTCATTTGAGATGAGATTCTTACTATTTTATGAATTGTTGTAAAAAATAAACTTTTAAAATTGTTATAGAAAATAGCTTTCTAATACGATTTTTTTAAATAAGCAAAACATATTAGCCAAATAGAAATTATGGTTCCGATCTAAAAAGCAAAGAAATAAAAAAAATTGTTCCAAAGGAAGTCTCACTTAATTACTCCTTCACTCTATACTATCATTAAAGCAATCATTTCACATTATTACTCCTTCCCTTTATAATATCATTAATGCAACTAATGAATAACAAGTTTACTACATTAATTACTTAATCCACTCTCCTTGCTAGGTCCATAATGGTCATTAAACAAACAAGTTTTGTAACTCAAAATTTAAATATCAATTAAGTATGATAAAAAGATGAAGATACTTCTTCTGCTAACATGTCTTAATTATTTCTACTCATTTTTTTTTCTTCTCATATATGTTCATTCCTTTTATGTTCAGCACACTATATGATCTCCAAAGTATTACTTCTATCAAAATTGATGGATTTATATGTCTATAATACTTAAATCTTTATATTTACTTAAATAACACTTTAATATTTAAATTATCTTAAAATATAGACATGAAGCAATATATTTTATTTTGAATAATTTAATATTAATTATATTTTTATTGTGATTGAAAGTTTTAAATATTATATAAATAAATCTTAAAATATAATATTAGTATATATATATATATAATATATATAATAATATATATATATATATATATATTATATTATATATATATATATAATTATATATATATATCTATATATATATATCCCCTTCAAAATATTATCCAAATCTCTAAAGGGGTTTAACATTAAGCTTTAGAGCTTATTTATTATAATCTTATATTTCACCCCAAAATATCATTCTAGCTAACCCAATTTCAGCACAAATTTTAAAATTTAAAATCTATTTCCTCTTTTATAGCGAGGCAATCAGCAGAGATTGATGGGTGTTATGTTATCCACATCGTATGGATAAAGTGCCACGCGTCTTCACTTCACTGGAGAGAATCTCCCCTCTTCACATGAGCCAGATGGAAAATAATTAAATTAAAAACCTGAACAATAATCCCTTCCGCTTTAAGCCAAAGCCACACGACCAAAGGCAAGATATTTGGGGAGCGAGGAAGGAAGCTTGAGCAAGGGGAGAAGGCATCAAGCCCTTTGATTTTGAAACATGGCTGCCAGTATGGCTTCGGCTGCCTCCAGCTTCGTGTTGACGGCCTCCCTCACCGGTGCCGGCACCGCTGCCCAGTCGCGACACACCTCAGTCAGCTTCTTATATAATAAGCCTGGTAGCTCCAGTGCTAGAAGGCTTTCTGTCCGAGCTGAAGAGGCCTCATCGTCTTCACCGCCGGCTCCGGCTGTGGAGAAGGAAGCCGCCGTGGCAGCTCCTGCTAAGCCGCCTCCACCCCCGCCCATTGGCCCTAAGAGGGGAACAAAGGTAGACTTAGAAAAAGTTTTTGACTTCAGTAAGTAAAGTATTTTTTGTATGATTAAAAAATCAAAATTTTCTACAAAACTCAGAAAAAAGTATAAATGTTTTGTTAGTATTGAGAAAAGAAATTAATAGGAAGGAAATGAAATGGAATCCATTTGATTTATAGGTTATTAAATAAAAATATGTAATCATTAATTTGAAAATTCTAAGCCTTTTTTTTATATCAATTCACTTAAATTTATAACATCCCAATGCAACTTAAGGTATATTGGGTCTGTTAAAGTACTATCAAGATTAGCATAGATCTCAAAGCATTAATTAGAGATTTGGTCATTGTTTTTTATCTGTGAGTTGACTTGATTGCTCGTGTTTTCTTAGTTAGATTGTTTATGACTTTATTCTTTGTTAACTAGACTCTTGTTATATGTATAGTTTCCTTTCCCGGTAAATTATTTTCTAAAGACTTTTAATTGTTTAGTTATAAGTGTTTGAAATGTCACACAGCCTAAGATTTGAACTAAAGATTGGCTAAATTACAACTATCACTCAGGCTTGCAGGAAAACTTTCTTTTTTTGCTTTTGACAAATTGCTAATAGTTCCAAACGTTATTTGTGTGTCTAATATTAATTTATTACATAATATCCACTAATATTTGGCCTACAATGGGGTTACTTTATTCTCTCGTGTTTACCCTTTCATACTTCTCAAGTTGATTAACAGTTTTGTCATTTATAACATATATTACTTAATAAAGATCCACCTCGGATGGATGCAATTTCGATGCTTATTAATATGCGTTCTGTGCAACGGGATGAGTGGACTATGCACCTATGAATCCTTGGGAATTGTTATTGTTGTAAGAAATAATCCTCGGTTACATTATTCTGAATATTACATAGATACATAGATATAGGAACTATATCAATATACGTATTGGAATTTTAGATACATATAAGGTAAGAGGTCAACGGCTTTAAAGGGCTATAGGAAATAGTACAATGAAGGAAGAACGATATCAATGATCTAAGGGAGAAACTTGCTACAACGGTAGGGTTTTGCATTGCTCGTTGATCATGTCGATGTAATTGAGTTATTATTTCAACCACACCATGCTTGGCAGTGAAGGAAAACGAACGCTAAGTTTGTCACATAAATCTTCAAATTGTGGTTGCGGTAATGGCGTAATGCTTTGGTAAAAACAGCAGCAATTAATTTGCTTGGATGTACAATTACAATGAATCTTCAAGGAGGAGATCGGCTATGACATTTTAAGAATGAAATGATTATCAATTTAATGTGATTTGTTTGAGAATAAAACATTGAATTGTATAAGCGGTGTATAACACTTATGAAAAAGTGGCGGTCATTCAAGCATGATTCCAATAACATGGATGTTAGTGCGTGCTTCATGTAAGACTGCAACAATAGTTGTTAAAATGTGATATTCAATGTCGACACTCAAGCGAGAAATTGTAGGTTGCGTTTTTGGAAGCCCATGCAATGTAATTTCAACAGAAAGTCAGAAGCTAGTTATACTTCTCCTGGTGTTTAGGTAACCATTATGATCTGCAACTTAAAATCATTTAAAGTTAACGAGCTTTGTGTTAAATGCTAAATGCCATAAGTAAAAAGAACACTTTAATGTAGTTAAGAGTGAGTTTAACTACTCGTAGATCCTTCATGGTTTTATTTTGGAAGTTAGCAAACTAAGGCTACGTTTGTGATGACTTTCTTATTGCTTTTTTGTGCAGCTTATTAGTACAATTTTTTTTATTTTTATACTAAAAAGCTGCTTCAATACTAAGAAGGCCATATATCTCAAACGAAGCTTAAATTAGCAACATGGACAAGATTTGTTTGGATTAAAGCAATGTTTAAAATTGCGTATTCGAGTATTGAGGCGTTTTTCATTCGTGAGGCGAGGCGTAAGCCTCAAGGCGTTTTGAGGCGTAAGCCTCAAAATCAAAAGATTGCGTAAACATAAAATGATAAATTTTTTATATACTAATGAGTGAATAATATAAAACATAAAAAAGCATAAGATATGAAGTGAAATCAAAATATCTCAATAATAAGACAACATGAAATATAGTTCAACTCAAAATTCTATTTCCCAAATCCCAGTATTCTTTTTATTAACATATAATTCTAATTTCTAAAAATAAATAGCAATGACATATCACATAAGAACTAATAAATTAGCACTGTCATCACTAAGGGATTCTTTATTTGAATCATCATTATGGTGAACTTCTCTCTCCCTTTCCTCCTTCCTATAGAGTCTAATGTTGGGCATTTACTTCAAGATTTATGTAAGTTTTAATAGATATAGCGTGAGGCGTAAGCCTCATGCCAGTGAGGCGAAGCGGGCCTCAAGGCGGGCCTCAACCAAGTTGAGGTGCAAGCCTCATAAAAAAGACTTAAGGCGTAAGCATCGAGGCGTTTATTACTGGAATTGCGCAAAGGCGGGCCTCAAGGCGAGCCTCATATTGCGCAATTTTAAACAATGGATTAAAGTTAAATATTTGAGCAAGCCACATAATTGGTGATAAATGATAGGCTATGATGCACAGGCACGGACACGGCGACACTGATACGACACGACACAAGACACATCAATTATTAAAAATATAAGACACTGACACAGGTCGGTCACGGTATTATAGTTTATGTATTTTAAAAATAGTGTATAAAAATTAAATAAATATAAATTTAAAAAAAAAATAGAAACAATAAGTCATTTAACTAGAATTTGTGCTTAAAATGATTAATATTAGGATATCGAGAGTCGGGCGTCGATGTCATTTATTAGTTATCGAGAAAGGAGATAAAATATAACGACTCAAGATCCGTGTAGTGAAAGGATTCATCTGATCGATCATTCATTTTCTTTTTTTTTTCTTTTTATTCATCCGTTATTCGTATCAATATATACATCCAGAGCCAGAGATAATTACATTACAGAAAAGAAACAGCAGCGGATACTATAATTCACATATAGTACAATCAGAGAACAAACAAAAGAGAGTCCAAAAGAAATATCTACACTAGCCACACAGGCTACAAAAGAAAGCCCACCCAAGGCTACAAAACAAAAAGCTGAACTCGACAGAAAGATCTTCAGACTGGAGGCCCTGCCACTGAAATATTAACCACATATAATGA